GACATCCAAATTACTTTTTGCATCCTAACTTGCAGATGATTAAATTCCGCTTAGAAAATGAATACAGATTTTGGACTTCTAGGGAAGATGGTGGAGTAGGAGGACCCTAAGCTCACCTCGTCCCACAGATAAAACTAGATAACACCCACATCACTGAATGTAACCAAGAGAATGACCCAAAGCCTGGCATGACAGACTCTCCACAGCTAAATGTAGGTAAGAGGACACATCAAAGAGAGAAAGAAGGGCAGAGATGCAGTTGGGAGCTAAATGGACCTATAGGACTGTCCCTGGGAGAGAGGGATACTGCAGGCGTGGAAAGGGGAGAGGAACAGAAGAGATCCCCACCCCAGGCATCCCAGGCATGGAGAACCTGCACCAGGAAGACAAATTCCCATAACATTTGGCTTTGAAAACCAGAGGGACCTAATTTTGTGAGGTCTTAGAATCAGCGGGGCTTAACTCCTGGGACTTTAAGACACAGAGGGCTTGGTTCTGGAACAGCCAGGAGGGCAAAAGGACCCTGAATCCCCATCCTTGAGGAGACAGCACAACAAAGAGCCCCACTGAGATAAATCACAGAAGCAGCAGTTTGAAAAATGCCTGGGGGTATAGGGGAGGGCGATGAGCTGCTTAATCTCAGAGCGTGTGCTAGAGGGGTACAGATCACTGGGAGACTTCTCCAAGAAAAAAAGAGCCGGCAGTCCCCACCATTTCCCTCTCCATCACCCCCCCACCCAACCTAGACACACAGACACTTGGGAGAGCCAACTTGCTAACAGTGTGCCACGCCCTTGCATCCTCCTGTGAACCTGCCCCCTCCAATAAGCTCTTTAACCAGGCCCTATTCACAGTGGTTCTGTAAGACTGGCAGTGTGCAAGTAGCCCCAACAGGGACCAGCACCACTCCAAGCTGACTCCCGCCCCATGGAGAGGGGGAGATAACCATACACCCCAGTCCCACGGCAGCCCCAAAAGTGGGCTGGAGGCAGACACCTGGTCTGTCTATAGAGCTTGCTCACCAACAAAAGCAAGGGAGACAACACAGGGAAGGTGCCCTGCTGCTCAGGGCTACTACACTTCTTGCAAATGCCTGGTCTGACCCAACTCAAGTCCAGGAGGGCCCCAGACTGGTCAGCTGACACCACAGGGACCACACCCTGCCCACAAGCAGAGAGCACCATTGCAAACAACTTGACTGAAGGCAAAAGCAGCTCAGTCAGGAGACACCTGTGAAGAACCAGGTTCTGGTGAACATGGGATGTTACACTGTAGGGCCCTAGAATATTTCTTCTTTGTAAGGCTATTACTTTCAAGAGCAGGAGATATAGGGGGCTCAGTTCTTAGATCATGTGACTCTTGATCGTTGGGGTTATGAGTTCAAGCCCCATATTGGGCACGGAGCCTACTTAAAAAAAAGGTGGGGGAGAGATTGAGAGAGAGAGAGAGCGCACGAGAGCAGGAGATGTAGCTGACTTTCCTAACACAGAAACAGACACAAAGAGTCAGACAAAATGAGAAGACAGAGGATGGTCCTAAATGAAAGAACAGGGCAAAATCACAGCAAGAGAGCTTAATGAAATGGAGATAAGTAATATGCCTGATAGAGAATTTAAAGTAATGGTCATAAAGACAGTCACTGGATTTGAGAAGAGTGGAGGACCATAGTGAGATTCTTAACAAACAGATAGAAAACATAAAAAAAAGAACCAATCAGAGATGAAGAATTTAATAAGTGAAGTTGAAAATACACTACAGGAAACAGTAAACTAGAGGAAGCAGAAGAATGGATTAGTGACCTGGCGGACAGAGTAGTAGAAAGCAATCAAGCTGAACAGGAAAGAGAAAAATAATAATAAAAAAGGAAAAACAGACTTAGGGAACGCAGTGACACCATTAAGCATAATAACATTCACATTCTAGGGATCCCAGAAGGAGAAGAGACAGAAAAGGGAGCAGAAAATTTATTTGAGGAAATGAGGCTGGAAACTTCCTGAATCTGGAGAACAAAACAAAAATCCAGATCCAGGGGGCACAGGGAACCCACAACAAAATCAACCCAAGACCTGTAGTAATTAAAATGGCACAAAGCAGCGATAAAGAGAGAATTTTAAAAGCAGCATGAGAAAAGAAAACTGTTACATAAAAGGGAAATCCCATAAGGCTATTAGCTGACTTTTTTAACAGCAACATTGTAGGCCAGAACGGAGTGACATGATATAGTCAAAATGCTGGAAGGAAAAAAACCTGTAGCCAACAACACTCTAACCAGCCAGGCTGTATCATTCAGAATAGGAGAGATAAAGAGTTTCCGAGACAAACAAAATTTAAAGGAATTCCTGGCTACTAAACCAGCCCTACAAGAAATGTTAAAGGGGACCCCAAATGGAAAACAAAGACCATAAGCAGGAGTAAGAAAAGTAGGAAGCATTAAAGCAGTAAGATTAAGCATATCTATAAAAATCAGTCAAGGGAATCACAAAATAATAGAAAGTTAAGTATGACAATACATACCTAAAACATTGTGGGAGGGGGGAAAAGAACGGGTTCAAAGAACGACCATCAACTTAATATAGATGGCTATATGCACAAGATGTTCTATACAAACCTCATGGTAACCACAAATCAAACATCAGTAATACACATGCAAAAAATAAGGAGAAAGGAATCCAAGTACATCACTAAAGAAAACCAGCAAACTGTGAGTACAGAAGAAAAAAAAAGGAACTAAGAATGACAAAAAGAACCACAAAACAGATAACAAAATGGCAAGAAGTACATACCTATCAACAATTACTTCGAATGTAAGTGGACTAAACACTCCAATCAAAAGATATAGAGGGACAGAACTGATAAAAAAGGAAGACCTATCTATATGCTGCATACAAGAGACAGATTTCCGACCTAAAGACACAGGCAGATTGAAAGTGAAGGGATAGGAAAGCATTTATCATGCAAAAGAATGTGAAAAGAATGCCAAGGTAGCAATACTTTTATCAGGCAGAAGAGACTTTACAACAAAGACTGTTATAAGAGACAAAGAACACTATATAATAATAAGGACAATCCAATAAGATGTAACAATTGTAAATATTTATGCTACCACCATGGCATCACCCAAAATACATAAAACAGTTAATAACAAACATAAAGGAACTAATCAGTAGTAACACAGTAGTAGTAGGGAACTTTAACACTCTACTCTCATCAATGGACAGATTATCCAAACAGAAAATCAACAATGAAACAGTGGCTTTGAATGACACATTGGACAGATAGATTTAATAGACACATTCAGAAATTCCATTCTAAATCAGCAGGATACATACTCTTTTCATGTGCACATGGAACATTCTCCAGAACAGACTACATATTAGGCCACAGAACAAGTCACAACAAATTAAAAAAGACTGAAGTCATACCACATATCTTTACTGACCACAACAATATGCAACTAGAAATCAACCACAAGAAAAAACCTGGACAGACCACAAATACATGGAGGTTAAATGACAAGCTACTAAACCATGAATGGGTCAATCAAGAAATCAAAGAGGAAATAAAAAGTACATGGAGACAAATGAAAATGAAAACACAATGGTCCAAAACCTTTGGAAAGCAGCAAAAGCTGTTTGATGAGGGAAGTTTATAGCAATATAGGCCTACCTCATGAAGAAAACTCTCCAATGAACAACCTAACCTTACAACTAAAGGAGCTAGAAAAGAACAAATAAAACCCCAAACCAGAGAAGGAAGGAAATAACAAAGATTAGAGTAGAAATAAATGAAATAGGAGCTTAAAAAAAAAAACAATGGAACAGATCAATGAAACCAGGAGCTGGTTATTTGAAAGGATCAATAAATATGATAAACCTCTAGCCAGAATCGTCGAGAAAGGGTGAGAGAGAGAGAGAGAGAGAGAGGGGTCAAATAAAGTCAGAAATGACAGAGTAATAACAACCAACATGACAGAAATACAAAAAGATTATAAGAGAATATTATGAAAAATTAAATGCCAACAAACTGGACAATCTTGAAGAAATGGATAAATTCGTAGAAACATGGAACTTCCCAAAACTAAATCAGGAGGAAATATTTGAACAGATTATCAGCAATTGTAATTGAATGAGTAATCGAAAGACTCCCAATAAGCAAGAGTCCAGGACCGGATGCCTTCACAGATGATAACAGAGAGTGAATACCTAGTCTTCTCAAAGTACTACAAAAAATAGTAGAAGGAGGAAACCTTCCAAATTCATCCTATGAGGCCAGCTTAACCCTGATACCAAAACAAGATAAAGCTACTAATAGAGAGAGAGAGAACGCTACAGGCCAATATATCCGATGAGCAAAGATGCCAAAATCCTCAACAAAATACTAGCAAGCTGAATCCAACAATTTATTAAAGAAATCACTCACGAGAATCAACTGGGATTAATTCCTGGGATGCAAGGTCGTTCAATATTCACAAATCAATCAACATGATATATCACATAGATAAGAGAAAGGACAGAAACCATATGATCATTTCAATAGAGGCAGAAAAAGATTTGCCCCCCAGCTGCTAGAGAGAGCAGGCTGGTTATTTCATACTCATCTTGCCAGTGACCCCAGACATCTAAGGATGGCCTTGGGGGAGTTGCCTGTGGCTCCGAGAATACATGTGGAGTCAGGTGGGGCTAGAAGTGAAGAAAGCTTGTGGGTGGTTCTCAGATGTAGAAAGAGACCTCATTCTGTGAAGCTTTTTTAAAAACTTTTAAAACTAAAAATTTTTTAAATTAAAAATACCATTCTCTGTCTCTATTTTGCTTGTGTATGCTTGCTCACGCTCACCCCTATTCCCCCAGAATTCTATGAAGGCATTGCTAACCCTGGGTGGGGCTAGATTTTAATTCTACTCTCTATCCCTGAATTTTAAACACGCTTTTCCTTCTTTCTTTTCCCACACCAAACCCTTCCATCCTCAAATCTGGCTTTCCACACACAGGCAAGAAACTCACGCGACTTTGGCACAGACAGTGCACTTCCAGCTGCCATCGAGGCCCGAGACCCGACACTCGCTGCACACTCTCAGGGAGCAGGCCCGGCACGGATCTCCACGGTCAAATATTAAGCCCAGGTTTCTCTGGCAGTGAACACAGACTCTGCTGGTTTGTTGCTGAGTCTTCCCACTTCTACGTTTTGCTTCTAAGAGTTCATTTTTCAGCTTCCTAGTAGGAGAAAGGGGGAAAAGTCACTTAAAAAAAAAAAAAAAACAAACAGGAGTGGAGCTCTCTTCATTGAAGGGGTATTTTCATTTGGAAGAAGACTAGAAAGAATCAAGTAGTCAGAGCCAGACACTTTCAGAAAACACAGTTTCTCTCTCTTGAATCAACAATCCTTTGATACCAGTAGTTGAAAAACATAGTGCTTGTGTCTTGCATTTGAATTTTAACATCCTCCACTAGTGCTACGATTTTGCTCTTAGTACTTATTGCCATTCTATGCGAACTTCTCCAGTAGACTTTCAACACCATAACACTAGAACACCACCGACCTGGCAGCTCGCACAACAGACAGGATGCGAGAGTCTGAAATCAAATTTGGCAACACTGATAACTTCTCTTTAGTGATCCAACAGAGAGTTTTCTACAAGGACAGGGTCCCACCATTTCAGATCTCAATACCTGTGCTTTCGCATTTGAGGCTTTCTAACAACTCCCACCGACTTCTGGGTTTTGCTGTCAGATATCTCTAGGTTTGGTCTAGGTTCCGTCATGAATTAGCTGTGCAGCTGGAGGCAACAATTCACCCACTACACCTTGGTCTCTTGATTTCTTAAAATGGGGGTAATAAGGTTCTTACATAATTGTTTTGAAGATTCAACAGGGTGTGTAGTGCATAAACAATGAATCTTGAAACACTGAAAAAAAATTTAATTAAAAAAAAAAGATTCAACAAGATGATAGATATAAAGATACCAGCATGGTGCCCTGCAATTACGAAGTGAATGCTAGTTCCATGTCCCTTCTTTTACTACCTGACATGTAATTTGTTTAGATACACACATGAGAATTGAGCTATTTAAAGGGATGCAACAGCGCAATTAAGGAATTTATTGGGAATGCAGAATCTCAAGCCTCACCTCAGACAAAATCTCCAGGTGATCAGAGTTTGAGAAGCAAAGCTTCGGAACATTTGAGCTCAAATTTGGGTATACTCTGGAATCACCTGGGAAGATTTTAAAAATAGTGATTCTCGAGTCTCACCCTTCTCTCTCTGCCAGACTCTGATAGCATTTTTTTAAAAAGTGGTACTATTTATTCTAATATACTGCCAAATTTGGAAGACAGTACTCTAAAAGATAGGTTCGTCTCCACTTTAAAGTTTCAGAGACATGTTGTTCCTTTATGCTATTGGTCTCCAGTCCCTTCTTCTTCTTTTTTTTTTTTTAAGGTTTATTTGGGAGAAAGAGATCATGCACATGAGCAGGGGGTGGGACAGAGAGAGGGAGAGAGAGACAATCTCCAGCAGACTCCTTGCTGAGTGCAGAGCCTGAAGTGGGGCTCGATCTTACGACTCTGAGAGATCATAACCTGAGCCAAAACTAAGAGTCGGAGACTTAATCAGCTGGGTCACCCAGGTGCCCCTTCAGTTTCTTCTTGAACACAATATTTCTATATTCCTGAAAAAACAAACATCCCAGAATCAGTTTACACATCTCCCACCATTTCCTTTTACATTTGTGATACTGCACTCCGTTATATCAGACTAGACTAGCATGTCCCCAAAAGCAGGAATGATGACTTTAGTTTCTTGAATAGACTGTTTATGACCCAACTCAGTGCTAGACTCTAAGGTCCTTAAATGTTATAAACTATTTACTACCTCTTTGGGGTCTTCAAAATAACTTGTGAAGTATTACGACGTCATTCACGTTCAAGATTGTGAGCAGTATACATAAAACCAGAAACTAGGTCTTTTCATTCCTAGCCTTATGAGAGATTTCTAAATGCGAAGGTTTCTAAAACCTTTAACTGTCTCCTCCATTCATCCAATGACCATTTCCTGAGTGTATATTGTGTGTCAGGCCTTCTGGCATTCGGAGACAAGAATGAGTCAAAACAGGTATTTGCTAAGAAATTCCCATTATCCTCATGTTAGTCAAGAAGGGGACAAACCATGGAAGATGATGCATGGGATACAACAGGCAGATACAGATTGCTCTTAAGAACTCGTTCTTATCCACCAGAACACAAGCAAGAACCCACAACAAGTTTTCCTCATTCCTGGTTTAGAGCTTACAAAGTGCCTTTATGTCCTTTTTTTCATGAACGACTGGCTTATGAAATTGAATGTAAGAAAAGCTCCACACAATTTACTTTTGAAAACCTGTAGAAGCTACAGGCTTTCAAATAACAGAATGAGTTCTCATTTGAAAACCACAATTGTATTATCTGGAGAATCACAACAGATGTTTGAACACCTCGGGGCAAAAGAGACATAAAACATTGCTTATTCGAAATCTACAACAATGCATTCAACATTGTCAAAGAAACCAGGTAATTAAAATGGGTGGAACAAAGATAGCACTCATGAGGGGCACCTGGGGGGCTCAGTGGGTTAAAGCCTCTGCCTTCGGCAAAGGTCGTGATCCCGGGGTCCTGGGATCGAGCCCCACATCAAGCTCTCTGCTCGGCGGGGAGCGTGCTTCCCTTCCTGTCTCTCTGCCTACTTGTGATCTCTGTCTGTCAAATAAATAAATAAAATCTTTATAAAAAAAAAAAGATACCACTCATGAATAGCAGTCCTACTTGAATAAGCTGCTGGGCTAAAGGGTAATAAGTGGAGAAAACAGGGTATTCCAGGACATTCCAGAGCCAAACTCTCTTCTGGAAAACAATTCCATGAGCAGGTATCCAAATCACTTAGCAGGTCCTTAGATTGGGTGAGATCACTTGGAGAAATTATGGCCATACACTGAAACATTTTCTTTTTCTTAAGATTTTATTTATTTGAGAGAGAGAGAGCACACACAAGTTGGGGGGGCAGAGGAAGGAGAGGGAGAACCAGACCCCCCACCCCGCAACCATTGAGCAAGGAGGCTCACACAGGGCTTGATCCCAGGACCCCGGGATCATGACTTGAAACACAGGCAGATGCTTAACCAACTGAGGCACACGGGCATCCCCCAAAGTGAAACATTTTCATTGCATCTCTCTTTGTGCTCTACTGACAAGAGTCTATTCAGCAATCAGGTTTCACCTAGTTCAGTTCTTGCGTTGGAAAAGACCTGGGGCCCCATGTAAATCAGGCTACAAGGAAACAAGAATTTCAAGGTCCCAACACACTAGTTGGGACATTGTTAAGGCAACTGGTGCTGATTGTCGCACATATTCTGGGAGCCATCTCTGAGACTGTGGGAGAGGCTGGGAAGAATCCCAGAGGCTGGCAAAATACTAAATGGCATGTTTTTTCAGATCGCTCTTAGAAACTGACCTAGTTTAATTGTGCCTGGGATGATGTGCATGAAATGGACATAGCCATTTTCAGACACTCAAGAGGAAAAAGGTTAAAGGGACGGCAACTGGAACTAGGAAAGAAAGTATGCAAGTGGAGAATTGGTATCAAGGAGAAAGGGAACATAGGGAACCTGGAGAGAGGAATAGGACAGGAGATGTCTTTTCCTTCTGTTTTACTAACCTTCTGCTTACTAACAAAGCAGGGTAGGCCTTACTTGGACTTGGTTCCTGTCTTGGCCGACCCAGTCTGAGAAACGTATCTGAGGAAGGTGACTCTCTGGGCTTCAAGCATGATATCTGTTCATCTCCCGCACCCACACAGGCTAGAAATGCTTCTGGTTCCAAGCAACACGCTTAAAAATCAGCTTCTTTTTTTGGTCCCATAACAAGATATCCACAATCAGGTAGTTTTTGCATTAGTTCAGCTACAAATCAGGTCACTAAGGGACTCAGGATCCTTTCATCCTAAAGGTCCCCTATCTTCAAGTTGTGGCTTATCATTCTTATGCAAAATGGCCAGCCAGCTCCCAGACAGCATCCGTGTTTAAGACTGGAGGAAGGGGCAAGCTGTGTCAGCGGTAACTGTCTCTTAACAGGAACGTGAAAATTGACATGGCATTCCCCCGACCCCATCAGACTTCTCCTCAGGTTCCGCTGATCAGACACCGCTAGCTGCAAGGGAGGCTGGGAGAGGGGAAGGAGGAAGATGGCACAGCCCTGGCCTCTGGACCTGATTCCTGTGACTAGCACTGGTCCCTGAAATGTGGGATGGGATTCCAGGTAAAATGTTTAAGAGCAAGTGCTTGCTTTACCACATCCCATCTACTTTTCATGGAAGATGGCAAAGTCCCAAATACTGTCTACTCTGTGAGCCTGAGTCCTGGTCTGAGGAGGCTGTGAAAGAGAGTCCTCAGCCATTTTGTTAGGGACAGGGAGCACAAATGAGAAATAAACCTCCATGGGTTTTTTTTTTCAATGTTTTCTTTTCTTTTCTTTTTTAAGATTTTATTTATTTATTTGACAGAGAGAGAGAGAGATCACAAGTAGGCAGAGAGGCAGGCAGAGAAAGAGTGGGAAGCAGCCTCCCTGCTGAGCAGAGAGCCCGATGTGGGGCTCGATCCAAGGACCCTGAGATCATGACTTGAGCTGAAGGCAGAAACTGAACCCACTGATCCACCCAGGCACCCTAAACCTTCATGGTTGTAAGCCGCAAAGAGTTTGGGGCTGTTTCTGTAGCATCACTGAGCACCCCCTCATGAGTAAGTCCAGCCTCGTTCTGCATCTGGCTGGTTCTTCATCTGACTTCCATATGTCCTTTTGTTTTAGTTTTACTGCTGCTTCCCCAGAGAGGTTATCTCTGACCACCAAATCTACAGCAGATATCCATCTTACTCTCATTCACAGAACCATGTTGTTTTTTTTTTCCTTCTGGCACTTACTGTAATTTTTTTTACTTACTGTAATTTTTCATTGTACATTTATTTGGCTGCTTTTGCTGGTTTAGTGTTTGTCTTGCCAATTCCTCTGTAATCTCTGTGAAGGCAAGACTGTATCTGGTGTGTTTAGCTATGCACGTTACAGTACGTAACCTAGGGCCCAGAACTTAACAGATATTATTTGGTTGAATGAATTAAAGAAGGCAGAAGCAGACGTTAGCAAGCATCAGAAGGAAGAGGAAGAGGAAGGGAAGGAAGGAGGGGAAAAAAGGC